TAATATTTTACTATTTTTAATATTAACTGAGAGTGATCTATGTAATTATCATTTTTAAAATTATAATTGAAAACATGAATTTCAATTTCATCATCTTTGTATTATTAAGAGAGAATTTTTTCTACATGTTCAAAGTAAAATGCTGCGAATGGCTATTAATGCTTCAAAATTTATAGATTATTTATTTAATTTATCTTTCGGTGATAACACAATAATACTGCAGTGTTATATAACTAGGATTATGTATCCAGGCAATGTTTATGATATTCGATAGTGTTAGTTTAAGCTTTGTTTCGCCATAGGTTTGGGCATATTTAAATCTGTGCAGGTTGCAAAACAATAGAATTCTTGAATTCTATTTTCGAAATGTTTGTTTTTAAGGGTTAAGTCTTTGTAATCACTCTCTTCCCCTGCAAACAGAGATTTTGAGATCCTTTTACATAGCAAGTAAACGTGGAAGGTAAGTATACGATTAAGATAATGTAAGATTTAAGAGGATGTAAGAAGCGATAACATGTTTTCATATTGAAAATTTTCTTTCATCTTATGTATTCTTGGAATGCACATATATGAAGCTCTTATTTATATAGAACTATATACAGTCGAACTTCCATATTACGATCCACTATATTGCGAATTTTTCTGTATAGCGAACTTTTTGTTGGAACCCATAACATTTCCCAATTTTCTACGTAAAACAATCTCACAATAGCGAAGTACATTTCTATATAACGAACTTTTTCTCTCGCGATTCCATTTTTCTCACTACTTTATTGTATTTTCTGGATATTTCAAGATATTCTCTCTTTTAACGTATTTTAGGTGCCTAAAAATTTAGGTGCCTAACTTATTTATTAGGTGCCTAACTCATAAGAACAATAAAATTCTGTACGTTTCATCAAAGAAGGGGCAACCTTTAACTCCCACTGTCAGTTCACTGTAAACATCTTCGATAAATAAATAATGTTATAAAATAATATATATTTAAAATTACTTAGAATGCTTTAAATTAGAAAATAGTCCATAACTTCATTAATTTTATTATAAAATTGTTTTCTTAATTTTAAAAATAGTATGTATTCACTCGACATTCTTTTTTTTTCTTTGCAGGTTTTCTTTCTTTCTTTAATGAGTAAAAGGTATATAAAATAAATATATATTTTTAATTTACAAAAAGGTGTAAATAATAACTTTTTAGTTTCATGAGGAGTTTATAAAGTATATTGAAAGATGAACCTGTGCGTAACAGTTTTCCATATAACGAACTTTTTCGGGATTTAGCAACTTCGTTAAATGGAGAGTCCGACTTTTATATATAAGGTATTCTCAGGGAAAATTTTTCTTCTTTCTTTTTTTACATTTTATTTAACATCACACTAAAGCTGTGTTGCTTTTCCATTAACTATAAACATACAAGTTGTTTTGTCAGTTGTCTATCAACGTCGTGCTCAGAAGCAACAAAGGGCTATGGATGGAATGCTAAGGCTTATTTTGAAGGAGCTAAAAACTGGTTTCCCGGGAAACAACCCTTCTCGCCCATTCAGCCTTTATAAAACAATCTTTTTTTCGTCTTACCGGATAAATTGAAATTTTAACAGAACTGTCTTCAAACGGAACTATAGTTTCAAAGCAGTTAAAAAAATTTTTTTTTAAAAAAAGCAAAAAAACACTCTGCAGAAAAATACAGAGTAAGAGAAGAAAAGTTTCAAATTTGTTTGCAAACACAAGTTGGATAATAGATATTTGGAAACACATACATAGTTAGTACAAAAACAAAAAGTAATAAAATGAAGATAAATAAAAAAATATGCTAAAAATACAAATTTAAATTAATTTATTTGTTTAAATGACACCATATACTAAGCTAATTCTTTTTTAACTCTTTATTCTACTCAAAGGAATCACGATTCCCCTCGAAATGATTTATTTTGAATATTATTAGCTACAGTGTTACCACAATACAACAAAAGGGATTTAATTCTATTAAGGGACTTGATCACGAATAATTAAATTAGTCCTATTACATTATTTTAGTTTAGAATGAAGAGAAAATTTTTCATTGATATAATGGAACCATAGATTTTAGTATTTTCAAATGAACAAAATTCTTTCAATTAGCGCCATGAAAGCAAGTTGTGGTCAGCGACTTTAGGAGGATTGCAAAAATAATAAGGGTAGTTTTTAATCAAAACATCTGTTGAAAAAAGAAATACTACGAGTTCATGTGCCATGTTAAGAACTGTGTAATGCAACTTGAATGAACATTAATATCTGTGTTTGGGTAAATATTATTATTTAAGTCGGAAGCCGTTATTAAAATTTCATTATCATCTCTTCCCATCCTCATTATATCTCTCAGGATTGTAATGACATAAGAGGGAGCATACCCACCACCACATACCTTTTATAGTGGTGATTTCAGCAAAATGATCTGCAAAAACGTCGTGCCGCGATAGCCTAGTGGTCAAGGTAACGGATTCGTGGCTGGCGTGTCATGAGTTCGAAACCAGTGCCACTAAAGACCCGCAGTGTACGAGAGCGATGCACGTTAAATCTATAGAGAGCTCAAACGTCCTCCCATTGGTGTGGTGTGGTAGTTAGGAGCTCAAGTTTCGTCCTAGTCATTTGACCACTGGTTCAAAATTACGAGGTCCGTCACCAAAATCCTTCGCGTAGCTGAAGAGCGCGGCATTAATATTCACCACTCACGAAACAACGTCGTTTTGAACCACGGTCAATTGACGAGAGACGACACACTCCAGATCCGTCACCGGAAACTCTAAAATTTTCATATCTCGCCATTGCGAAAATTTCTTCCTTAAAGATTTAATGAACATCAGTCTCTTCATAAGCGGGATCTATAAACTCCGTAGAACTCACGAAACCATGACTCAATAGAAACAACGCCCGTAATCATGACCATAATGCCAATTTGTACCAATGTCAAGTGTTCCTGCAGTGAGTGTTAACATGCTTATTATATGTTTTCTAGTTCAATGAAATATATAAGAAAATTTTATATTTTGAAGGGAAATTCTAACTGCAATTATATATATAACTTAATAAAGAGAAGTCGAAAAGTTCATTGCATGCTGATTATAATGACAGATCTTGAACTAATTTACCGCATTCCTACCTTGTTCGTTGGTGGGCTTTTTGCTATTTGACTGAGTGACTAAATAAACTCGCAAAATGCGATGGATTTCGATTTTTCATTTATGCATACTCAGAAATCAAGTGGTCATAGTTAAGTCATGCGTTCATCTTGATTCCAATTAAGCCTCGTTTAACAGTGAGGTTGATCAATAATAAATTTGTCAAGACCTCCAAGTTTTCACATTACAATGGTGTAGTAGTTTGAAGAATGGTAGGACAGCTCAGTTACAGCTTTCGTATCTTGAGATATGTTGTTTTTGAGAGTGAAAAAGTAAAGAAATAAGTAATAAGTAAAAGTGCGTTTTCTTATTATTCCGCCCATTGATAATTTAGGGTTATCGTGCTTACTAAATATAAGGCGCAATTTTCTTCGTTCAGTTGGATATTTTGAGTACTATATCATTACGGTACATGCAGTTTAGTCAATTCTTTGTTTGTTTGGTGACTTGCATTCCCAAATAAAAAAATGGTTCCTATCATGATCTAGATAAAACTATAAAAGAAGGCAGGAGAAAAAGGCTATCTGTGGGAAAAGTGTTTGGAAGTTATCAAAATGAGGAAATAGAGAGGCGAAACTGGAAATTACGAAAAACAATTTCCATGAATGGAATCTTTATGGCAAAAGTATTCAGGAAACTTTTATGTCACGGGTCTAAACCGGCCCGGAGTGTGCCTAAGCTGCGGCGTTGCCCAAAATGTCTCTGCTGTTTGTTTTCGTAACTGGTCGTTAGGTTTCGCCATGTTCTGGGAAAATGGATCAATGGAAACGATTAGAAGACTTGCGTATGTGGTATCACTTTTATCTGCACGTGAATCGTAGATGTTCTGAAGGTCTTTTTGACATCGGCAGTAATTTTTATCATTTTCGGGGCCAACGATCTTCAGAGGAAGTTATCATTCAGTGCCGGACAAGCTTTGTTTTCAATTGATGCGTGAAAAAAACTGCTAGAAATTAATTTGTTCTTAATGAAGAAAAAACGAGAAATACAGAAAATATTTTTTCTTGAGTAAATTCTTATTTAGGTCAACAAAGAAAAAATTTTATTTCAGTTTCTTTTTATTAAATAATTACAATTAATATAAATAAATATGTACAAATGACAGAATCACAATATAAGTGAGAAAGCTATTTTCCATTCCCCTTTTTATATATGGTGTTCGTATATTATTTTTGTTTGTTACTATTTATTCATTAATTAAATTTAACTATTCCAATAAAATGGTATTGTAAAAACATCACATTCTCAGAAATTAGGCCACCCCCGGTGAGATTCAAACCCACGACTTTTGGATTAGATGTCCAACGCGTTACCCATTGCGCTACAGAGACACAACGATTGCCTTTCCCTTCTATATATGGTGTCGGACTATTATTTTGGTTTGTTACTATTCATTTTTTAAGGTAATTAATGAATTAATATTTGAAAAAACATCAAGTGTCCTCCACTACAAGTTTTAAAAAATGTATTTGAACTTGAATGGATGAATAGAAAGTATTTTATTAATAATTGAAAATTTGAACAAGAAATATATATATATATAAATAAATAAATACATATAGGAAGAGTGTGAACTAATAGTAGGAATTGAAAAAACAGATTGCGTTAATTAACGAGAGAGAGTTAGAGAATTCTAGATATTTTTCAAAACTTTTTGTTTCATCAAGAAGAATACTTAATTTTTCCATATTGTAAGGCAGAGCTCCCCAACCTTTTTATCGCCGTGGACTGTTGGGGCCCCGCTGAGGGGGGTAGACGATGATTGTTATATTTTAGATTGTTTTGCTTTACTAATTTTAATTTAATTGCATTTAAATATGCCTTTAGAATAAATTACAGTCACACCAAAAAAAGAAATATGAAGTGATTTAACATGGAGTATAAAGTGATCTCCATAAAAAATGATACAAACCCGAGAAAAATACACCGCAGTTAACAAAATAGATAATAATTTAATGTTCCTTGTGCGCCCCGGTGTTATTTGATCCACCGACCGATATCGGTCCGTGGCCTGGGGCATAAGGATCACTGTTATAAGGTATCTGTTTAAATAACCAGTGGTATTAATCAAAAGAAGAGGACAGAAAATGTGGATGTTTTTTAAACATTTTTTGCATGTTTTGCGAAGAAAGTTATTATTTTTTTAATGTTAGACTGGGAAACTATTGATCAAGAAACCACTTTAAAGTAATAAAAAAAAATGTCAATTTCGTAATATATTGTTTTATTTTTTTTAATGTCTGACTTTTTTTTACAATTTTCTTACGATTTCCCATAGATATCTTTAGTAACAGATGCTTTGTGGATAATGTTTTAAATAAACTATAGTTGTATGCAATATAAAGAGATATCTTCTTAGTGATTGTACCCACCCGTGAATGCCCTCTTAAGGCGCTTTAAACAGTAAAAACTTGTGACGAATCTGTACGGAACCTTTCCACTAATATTCTTAGGCGTCTTATTGGGGATTATAAATTCGCGTATATTTCCAATCAACTCTAAGGAGGAGAACAGGATAATGCAAAGTAGATAGGGTACTTAAGTAGAGCGTTGTAAGTTAGCAAAGTGAAGGCTATTGAGCCAGCAGTAGTAGAGTCAACGTTTAGAGGATTCAATTGGATTACGATAGTGAAGCATTACTGCTAGTACTCTACGAAGGAATCTTAAAAGTTAATATACCTGTGGAGATATCAAAGTATTACCAGGTGATATAGTATAGTTCATTATAGCTTAAAACAAGTGTTAGTTTAATAAAATTAGTTTAAGTTAATGAAAGCTAATAATTCGAGTTGCGTGTATTTCTCAGACCTTCTATTTCGGTAGACCGTATTGATATTACGCGTAATTATTGATTAATTTCATATTTCGTAATTTAATATAATATTAAAGGTAAATCCCTTTTGTTTGCCGTAACATAGAAATATTATGTCATTAGAGTTTCTAATATTTGAATCAAGTGAATAAATATAAGTTATTATTATACTAATGGCTTTTAGTCATTCTTTGCCTCAAATTAATCTTGGTGTCCTGGGTGGAACCCAGGGGGGTTCTCACAAACTCTTCAATTAACTGGACATTAACTGAATAAAAAACGACTATATGAATCAATTTATATCGAATGTAATCTTTAACTTAACCATATTAGTTTGCATAATAAGCACTCCTTAATTGATTATACGTTACCTGTTTAATGAAGCTACTGAATAAAAGTTGAATTGTATTGTGAATATACTTTTTATATTATTAATTATCTGGATTCAGTAAGCACGCTTCAATTGATTAGACATTGGTTATATAGCAAAACGACTGCATTAAAACAATTTATATCGAATATAAATATTTAAATACAAATCTAATACTTCTCATAGTAAAATATCTTAAAATTGACATGGCCTTATCTCAACAACAAAACAGTTGAAATTATATCGCAAACTGTAAAGCAATATTATTTTGAAATTAATCAACTATGTTTTTATACTCACAGTAAGAACTTCCAATTGATTGGACATTAGCTAAATAATAAAAAGCATGGATAATTCAACTTTAAAACGAATATACTTTAAATTAATTAACTATCTTAGAAAGTTCCAGTAACTATTTCCCTGCTGATTAAACACTATAACTAGACAACAAGAAAAAATTCTATAAATGAAATAGTATGTAACATATTATTTAAATATATAGATTATTTTTAGTTTAGCAAGCGTTCTTTAATTTACTACTCTAGATAAAAAAAAAAATGTTTGGGTAAAATAAATTTATATCGAATATACTTTTAAATTAACTAATCAGGAATGGGATGCTCATTTCAAACAGCAAAAATATACTCAACAATAAGCCCTTTTGTTCCAAAGAACAGAGCCTTTTTCTATGAATTCGAAAGTAGGAACAGACATGTCGTAATAAAAATAAAGTACAAAGATGCTTCTACGAATTAACACGCAGTTTCAAAGACGGATGAATGAACTGAAGTCGACTAACAGGACCCTATTATTGGTCTATGAAGATCAATTGACAAATATAATTCTAAATATCAAAGTCTTTTATATATGAAAAAACACATTTCCTTCCAATTTTAGAAAATATTTTTAAAAAATTTCTGAGAATTTACAAAGCAAAACAATTAAAATATGCATATTTATAAAAGTATAGCAAAAATATAATTCCATAGAAGATTTCAATACTTTTGGTTCATTTGGGTGCACTTTAGCGCTTACAGTCTAATACTTATAATTTTCGTAAAATCTGGCGTATGACGCGCACTTTGTGAGCCTAAAATAAAATCGAAATTTATGGGTGCGTGGTTACACTCAGGGTATAAAAAGGATAGCCTTAAAAGTAAAGAAAAGAAGCATGACAGAAAAATTAGAACTCTACCTGTATCGAAATACTCTTTATTTAAAAGAAATAGCATACCATATTAACTTAAAAGGTTGTAGTTTTATAAGTCAGTGGCGTAACGTACACCCCCGCATCACGGGGCGGGGGGCAGAGTTCTATAGGGGCCCAAAGCTTGATATACACCAAGTACATACTTAACTAATTTATAAAATATTAAAGACAAAACCTGACTTTTAAGGGAGGCCCTAATATTCTCCGTTACGCCACTGCTAGAAGTATATTATTTTTTTTCTATAAAGCTTGGGATTTAGAATAAATGACTTCAAAACATATATAAGAGCATTACATACGTACATTTCAGGTTTATGCGTAAAAAAGGTGGTGCGCGTTTTATACGGCAAATATACTCAAATTTTTTTTTAAACAATGCAGCTTGAAAGTAGAGGCGCACGCGTTATATGGCGTATTTTGCGGTAATTTAGATTTGAGATGGAAAATATTAATTCAATACTTGAATTTGATAAAATATGTGAATATATTCTATAATGCTACATTTGTACATAAAAACTAAATTTTGGGGGTTTATATTTTTCTTAAAGGTCTTTCACAGATTAAAACAAAACTCGTGCAGAATTAATCATTTTTTAATTCTTCGGAGGGTGCGTTATCTAGAAAAAAAGTACTGAAAAAAGATTTAATTTTATAGATGTTTAAAATATGATTTTTAGGTTGTGCCATTTGAATTTCACGCTTCTCAATTCGAGTTCTCTTTCGGCATCGTGTTGGTTTATAGTGTGGCGTTAATAAACACTTATTTCTCTTTTGGCACATTTTGAAGTAAAAAAAAAATAAGCAAGAAAATTGTGCATCTGTTGTAAAATGAAATAAATTATTTTTTTACATTCCTTCAATATTTTTCTTTATTATTTTCCTTCCAAGGCAAAATTTGTGTAATATTAAATTCGAAAAAAAAGGACACGTTTTTATGAACTTATCACTTAAGTCTAGAAACATTTTTATGTAATTCAATAGACATATTATAAACTATTTTACAGTATTCAGATGTAACTGAGTTCATCTTTCAAGTATCCAGTTACTTAGTGTATAATTATTTCAATAATTTGTTGTTTAAACTAATTAAACCAGAAAATTGCAACATAAAAATATCGTAATAAACAAAATGTTAGTTGAATGACATAAAAGCCTTTTGAAAGTTTGGTAACTATTTAAAAGTACAAAATATAGTATAATGTAATAAAACACAAGTTTATCTTTACTGAAGTTTTTAATAAAATTGATTATAAGCGTCCAGTTTTTGTTAACGGTTTAATTAAATCTAGAGTGGGTTTGCAAAATTGATGTTAGTAAATAATAAATACTATATTTTTTAAAAAATAAGGCTTTGTAAAGGATACACAGCTTACTATATAAGTAGACAATCCATAACATTGATAACATGAAAATCTATGGTATAAAATGGCATGTGTATAAAAATTATTTTTGAAAGATATCACATATAATATATCATATTCAAATATTGCTCGCGGAAATTTAATGACATTGTTTTAATTGAGAATTTCAGATATCGTAACAAATATAAAAAAATAACATGTATTTTATAATTCAAAAACTTACCCGTAAATTCACAACTTATCCAGCAGGAATATATTCATAAAAGTTTGAATTAAAAAAAATCATTTAAGTGGCTACACAGTTTTGATTTATTCCTAACACAGCAGATATTTGTTCCAAATCAGAAGACCTAATTAGGTATTCTGGCCAAAATGTTGTAATAAATATCATTCTTTTGCATTAGAATTAGAAGTTACGAATTCCATTCGATAAGGAATCTGTTGAGAATATCTTCTAGATTCGACCTGAGGAAGAGTTTGGCTCAGTGAATCTGGTCACACCTGCTTGTCTTGCCAAATTCCCACTTTGTGTCATCAGCTGTTCCTTTCAATCTCAACTGATAGCCGTCACTTTTAAA